TTTTAATAAGTTGTATATTGATACATGTTGTATGATGCGTGAATTTGTTGATGGTGGTACTACTGCGTGTAGCTTGTACAATCGTGTTTGATTGACACTTGGGATTCTATACTATTTTATATTGGATGATTGTACATATATAATATATATTGTTTATGTATTTTAATTAATATTTATTAAAAATTATATTTTGTTTAATGACTAAATATTGACATACAATAGATACTTTAGTGGACATCCTAATGGCTTAATATTTAAATTCTCTATGTGTTATAATATATTCTAATTAATATTATTAGCTGTCATCAAGCATCTGTATAAATACCTATAAATACCACTTTATGTCATGCTACTGCACATTTTTCTTATTTCAATAAGCAAAAATATTTTTCTCTATCCTGTCTTCTAGTGCATTGGACCTATAATTAAAGAACTTATGTTTTAATTTAATTCACAAGAATAATTAATCTTAGGAGGGTAAAACAAATCAACTTAATGAAGGTTAAGAAAACACATAGAAAGGATTGAATGTGTGTGTAGGTTTAAAAACTTTTTCACAAATAAATCGTTATAAGTTTGTAAAACCTTTTGTCTAGAGAATGTGAGGGAACAAGGGATAGAAAAAAACATTTTGTGCTTTTATACTAATTTACTCAATTCAAGTTATGTCCAATAACCTTTGAACTCAAAGGGTTCTACTAGCTCGTATAACTCTACACGACAAGTATTTTCTGTCACTCTTAACTACAAATTTAACAATACATTGTATTATTCTTTCACTAGCCTCTTCAAGCGTACAAGTTCAAAAAAGTTCAAGTGTTTATGAGCTAAATCTCATTGAGAGGATGTATATCTTTAGGACACTCAAAGAAGTTAACTTGCTAAGGCAAAACTTGCTAACTTAAGCACTTTTCAAATGATTGTCCAATGGATGATGAATACAAGACTTAGAGAAATATTAGAGATTAGGCACAACTAAAGAATTTTACAATATTCACAACAATTGACAATTTCTCTTTGAGTCTTCTTGCATTTATAGGCTTCAAATATATCTATTGGTGAGAGTCTTTGACACTTGGTCATTTGAAGTGTGATCTTCGATCTTCACAAATATGGTTGTTCTTCACACTTGTTCAGAGTTTCAGGGCTTCATAAATGCATAGACATGAAAGGAGATAAAGCTTAGAAGGCAAGATCTAAATGTGTTACTTTAAGTGCTAATAATTTTCTTTGAGACTTGACTTTCCTTTTTTGTGTTTTGCGCTAGTCTAGCTCACTATACTATTTTGTGCATATACAAAAATAAGGAAATACAATATTATAGCATTAATAACAGGCATAGATTATCATAATGCTTATCAAGACTTATATTTGAATAACTTATTTAAAGGCACGTATGTTTGATAAGTCTTGAATTTGTTAACAATTAGAAGATGTAGACACTTGTCACAATAGTTGGACATTGGACACAGATGCTGACTAGCCCAAATTACTAAGTATTACACTTGTTCATTTTTATACGATTGTAGAAGACGGTTGTAAAATAACATTTTTAGTCTTCATTCCTTCTAATGGACATTTGATAGGGGAGAAGTTTTTTCATATTTTGGAATCATGATTTCTGAGAATTACAAATCCTGAAAATCATGATTCTTGTGAATAGTTAAAATCTATTTGATTACTTATAAAGGTTCTTGGGAATATTCCAATTTTATATTTTAACTATCCACAAGAATCATAATTTTTAGGATTCGTAATTATCAAGAATCGTGATATATATATATATATATA